TGTAAAGAGTCGGTGTGGCATCACAAAAAAACAGAGGTTATGAAGAGGTTATGTACAAACGCACCAGAAGTTTGTACATCTCCTTCTGGTCACAGTCCTCAGGTGTGGAGCCAAACTTCTCCTGTGTGTTCTGAAGGGAAATGATCATTAAAACAAATGTCAAACTACAGATCTTGGATTTTAGTCTGTATGAAGAAATATCAGCGCGTGGGAGCAGCTCACCAGAATGCTCTGTACGTCCTCTGGTGTGGCCTTTGACTGGTACATGAGCATTTCCTGGGAAATATCTTTACTCCACTCAGTCCTGTTCAGTTTGTCATATGTGTCGCTGTTCAGAGTGGACCAGCCCAGGAACTGGGTCAGAGCCTGACGACATGGACAAAGCCATTAATTTCACTCTGTAATTTAAATTATTACCTCATTCTTCAAAACAAGACACGTCATCATCACATCAGTCATAGTTAGATTATGATAATAAATGAACAAATACACTGAAAAAAATGCATCATATCAAGTATTTAACTTAGAAATTAAGCAAATATATCAAATAAATTGATACATTGGCATTGAAAGTTTATTATGATATTATGGGAACAATATAACGAACAAGAATAAAAAAAGAGTTTGAGCCAATTTCATACCTCTGTAATTTGTTCATCATTCTCATCGAATGGTTTTCCATCTTTTCTGTTGAAGAAAGTTGCAACACCAACAATTTCTTCCTTTTTGTTGACGATAGGGAGCGAGAGGACATTCTTGATCACCCACCCAGACTCATCCACCGCTCCTTTCTGTCAAATGAGTCAAATCAAATAAGGTCATTTCAGTGAACGATGTATAAACAAAGAGAACTTTATTGATGGAAATGATCAGTCTTCAATGAAGATCATCTGACCTGAAATGCGAAGTAATCATCTCCAGCAGCGTTCATCATGTTGCAGATCTGGAAGATGTAAAAAAAAGAAAAGGGAATTAAAGTTTGGGCAGATCATTGTGGGAAATTCAACTTGAGGTATTTGCACAAATGATATTAACACAAGTTGAACTTACAAATCCATTCTCAGCCACATACGCTGGGAGTCCGCTGACCAGAGCCCAGTGGTCTGCAGGAGGGCCGCTGTGAGTTTAGAGAGGAGTAAGAAACTCTGATTGGAAAAGCAATTAAACTCTACATAAAAGACAATAAATAAACAAGCATTGTACCAGTGCTACATTACATCATGATACTTACGGTATAACTTTAATCTCCTCTTTGTCTTCCAGCAAGTAGTCGATAATCTTGTAGAAACTGATCTCCTGAAAGTTTAGAACATAATAGTGTTTTTAAATATCTCCTAAAATGTTCACATATTGGTGCATTGGAATGATGTAATAAACCCAGTGTTGGACTTACTCTGCCATCAGGGGTCTTCGGGCCCTTGTATGCCTCCTGATCTCCAAGTTTGATTGCCCACTCGTCGAAGAATTCCTTGTGATGAAAAGACCATAATCACATCACTATTTGTGTTATTATAAATTCATGCACACACTGAAGTACAGGCAGCTTCAGACAGGTTGCTCTTGACTTTCCTCTACACACCTTGTCTTTGGTCATGTCCAGCAGTCCCACAGAGTACCTCTCACACTTGATATAGGTCCTCACTGTGTATAGGGCTTTGTGAAACTGCCTCTCAATGTCTGTCAACTCCTCAAACACTTTGCTGGCCGACCACAGCAGCACCTATAGATGGCAAGGAAACAAAGAACCACTCAGGAAAGGCTGGAAAAGGATCTTCTCAGAAAAAAGAAAAGTGGACTCATTATCATGGTGTTTTACCTGGCTTCTCCTGGACTCTACATCCCACATGTAAGCACAGTGTGCTTGGAGAACGACCACGGAAGCAAAGTTCACATATTTGTTGAAGAGCTGTGGTGAAAGAATCATAGTGCTTTGTGAAACAGTCACATCTTCCCTTGCAACACTCTATGACAACAGATCATTTCTCTTGAAAATCTTTGCTTGGATGACCTCTGGAGTCGGTGTCACAGAGAGGCCGCCAAACACGACGCGAGGAGAACGTCTGAGCTTCAACTCTCTAACAGGATTATATATGTTGATCTGTCATAACGGTAACCCACAGTCAAGCCTGTAAATATACAGGTCAGAGACAGGAAGCTGTGGGGCTAAAAGTGGCCATTTTACTTAGTTGCCAGAAGGATATGACCCTCATACTGATCTGTCTACTACAAGCGGTAAAACCCTGCAGCCTCAATGATTTACAGTATTCTCAGGTTCTCAACACAGTGTGTGTATGTGTAATTCTGGTATTTAGTCAGTATGAATATGAAACGTCCAGCGCACTCACCTCCTGGTCGCTCTTGGAGAACTCGGCGGCACCTTGTTTGTTGAGAGCCATGATGACGCCGACCGGTTCCTTTCCATTCATGATGGGAGCAGTGATCATGCACTTTGTGGTGTATTTGGTCTGTTTGTCCACAAAGTCACTGAAATGAGAGTCCTGAAAAACAAAAAAGCAGAGTTATTAACAGTTGTGTGCTGATGACAAGATGGAGTTAATATGAATATGAATTATTATTATTATTATGCTGCAGTTTCCTTATGTTTATAATGCATGTTTACTTATGTATTCCTTTTTTACTGGAGCCTCTGTTTTGTTATCACCTTTATTGCTGTAATACAGCAAATCTTCCCATTGGAATATCTTATCTTATCTTATCATAATGCATGTTTACTTATGTATTCCTTTTTTACTGGAGCCTCTGTTTTGTTATCACCTTTATTGCTGTAATACAGCAAATCTTCCCATTGGAATATCTTATCTTATCTTATCTTATCTCACTTTATCTTATCTAAAGTATTATCTCATCTTCTGACATTATCTCATCTTATCTAGTATTACCTCTTCCCATCTACAGCATTAACTTATCTAAACTTATCTTAAATCAGCATGAGAATGCAGTGTGGTTGGAGTTTAATAAGACAGAACTACAATCATCACATCTTACATCAGTTATACGAACTGATTCATTCTCTGTTTGTTGCAATTTGCATTTTAAACTTTGCTTAACTCACCTTCTTTACATCAGCAACATTCTGGGACTTCTTGGTGTGTGCCGTCCATCCAACAAGTCCCATGTCGGTGGGGAAAACAATCTCTACGTTGGGATTCACCAAATTTTTCTCAAACGCAGAATTGTGCGTCACGTCGAAGAGGATCGTGGACAGCTCTGGGGTTCCATTGCGAGACCTGTGGCCAAAGAAGCTGCAGCGGTCCGCTTGGATCAGCAGAGCAATCCTCTGGAGGACCTTATGCAGTGCTTTCTCCATCTGGTTGTTGCCCTGCATCTCCTTTATGAGCTCGAATATGAACTCGGCCTCCTGGATGGTGGTGACATCCTTGTAAGAGGCCGGGTCTTTGACCTGCACCTGGTTGTTGAAAGCAGCAGTGATCACATCTGCCTTGACTTTCTTTTCGTAGTACTCCTTTGCAAACTGAGGATTGTTGTCGAGGAACTTCTCTACAGTGTCTTTGTCTGCCATCCTGTCTGAGTTTGGATGAACGAACTCGACTGAAGCTGCACAGAGATGCTCCCCTCAGATGGGTACAGCTGGATGGAGGAGGAGGAGCAGAGCAAAGCAGTGAAGGTTTCCTCCAGGAGAAACAGACCCTACTCTGACATTTCCCAGGCTCCTCAGTGCACACAGGACCAAAGCTGCAACCCCAACCCTCTCCCTGGTAACAGAAGGTAGTGAGTGGCTTACTGGGTAAGGGGATCCTAGGGGACACTAATGACTGTGACGCAAGAGTCATAAAGCCCCAGAGCTTTCTTAAGTTGTAAATCCAGCCACTTGTCATTTTAGAGGGGCCAATCCCATCACAGGTAATAATGACCTGCAGTATGACCTGCACTGTAGAGGAGGGCAGGGTAAAAGACTGGAATTATTACTGGTGGGATTTCTTGATAATTCATAATAAAATATATCGATCAGTGGTTCATTTCTTCTCAAAATACAAAGTAACATCCACAACACTGGAGGGGCACTCAGTAGGCCCATGCAGTTATCTTTATTTAGATTTGCATCGAAGTACACACACTCATAAACATCAGCCACCCAAACATGTCTGACTTCTTTCATCAAGATCCATGAATTAAACTTAAAAATGTAAAAAAGAGTCCCTGGATCCAAATAACTACTGAATCATTTGAAAATAATAATAATGTATGATATTAGGAAGATAAGAATAATAATAAAACAATCGCACCAGGTGAGGAGGAGCTACGCACATCTTGTTAAGAGCGAAGCTTTAGTGGTGTCTGAGAAGAATTTAGAGAAAACAGAGAAAACATTTGAAAATCTTGTGTCTAGCATCAGTTATCTGTGATTTCGCATCATGCTGCCAGAAGAAGAAAAGTAGGAGGACTCAAGTTCACAGAGGAACTTTTATGATATAGTGACACCTGAGTTGAAATAACTATTCACCAGCTGGTCACATCAGATCAATGACTGACCGCCTGCAGGAGCGTGGTTTCTCATTTCAGAAACCCAGAGAGAAACTGGTGTGTTTGATCTGAGGAGCCTGCAGGGCTCTGCTGGGCCACCTCTGTCAGACCGCAGCTACATTTAACCATTGACAGGATTAAGTGAGATTGTTAACTGCTGCCTGGAGTTTAATTACTCTTGTTGGCAAGCAAACAGCCATGTATTAGTATGTGAGACGCAAATTCAATCCTCCTGCAGATGATAAAAGAACAACTTTACTTATGATATTTTCAAAACACTATGTTATTAGAAATATTATTAGTTTAACTGACTAAGGAGTAGTTCAGATATTAAAATCTTTTTTTAGACTGATAAAAGAACTGAAAATAACTTAATCTTTGTTTTAATGTATATTAATTAATGCACCAGCTCAGGATTGAGCAATCATGAGAAAAGTGTATCTTTGGTATCTTTGTTCTCTCGATGTCAAAACTATTTGCTGAAACAGAAATGATAATCACGGGTTCATCCTTCCCCTCCGAGTACTGCCACAAGTTTCTGTTCGCAGTGGCACCACGGCAGAACCACAGCAGAGCTTTCTCCAGCCGTTCTTGAACTGGCAGACTGAGTAGAGAATAGGATTGAGAGCCGAGTTGACCAGTGTGAACGTCATCACCCAGAAGAACACGGTCGAGGAGATGTGCAGGTGACCGAAGAAGTTTCTGGTCAGGATGAGGAAGATGTTGATAAAAATGGGACTCCACATGAGCAGGAAGGAGAAGACGAGGACCAGGAGAGTGCGGAAGAGCTTCATGTCCTGGCGGGATACGTGGTACTCTGGAGACTCACCAACTGGGAGCGGATTACCTCGTGTTTGGAGTCCTCGTCTGCAACTTTTAGCAATCTGCAATACAAATAAAATAATATTTAACATAAGACTGGCATTCTCTCATTTGTGACATTATGTGATATATGAGATGAAGCCATTTATGTGACCCGAGTGATTTACAAGAGGATTTATACAGAGGACTTGAGGTCATTTATCTCAGAGCTAAAATCAACGTGTGGCTCCTCAGTATCATTCTCTATTGTCTGCATCATGTTAATGTCCTCACTGCTAGAACTGCTTGTCCTGTGTAATATTGACAGTTGATAATGCAAAGCTCTGTAGTCACACAGTGATCCTATTTTCAGCTTCAGTAATTAATAAAGCACGAGCACGTCTGTTGCCACAATGACCGAGACATGGCTAATATTCACAGAGGGAACAATGAGGAAGGTCACTGAGTCTGTTGGTGTAAAATGTTAATACTGGTTTCTTTATACAGTTTTACAAATGAAGGAAAAATGCTTATTAAATAAATAATCAAGATCACCACAGATACTGTTTGTGTATCATCACAGTGAGGCTGAAAATGAAGAAAAAGGAAGCTAATATTTTTATTGGATATGCACCTAATTTTCCACACTCATAAATATCAGTCCATTAAATATGCCTGTTTTCAGTGGTTCCTTTCAACACTTAGTGAGAGGAATGAGTACAATAAACCCACCTGTAATATTTTGCTGTAACTGACCACAATAATGAGTCCTGGGAGAAGGAAGCACAGAGCGGCGAAGGAAATATTCCAAACAATTTCTCCTGTCCAGTCGGGCCACTTGAGAGTACAGATGTGTAGACATTGCTGCATGGAAAGAGTACAAATATACAGAACAGCATCCATTAATAACAGGGACAAAATGTGGAACTTTTCTTTCGTTGACTGATTCACTGATACCTGCTCAGGAAATTCAACTTCCATCACAGTGAAGAAGAGGCTGAGGGGTAAAGCAGTGAGTGCAGAGAAGGCCCAGATGAAGATGAGGGTGGCGGTCACCATCCTGGGGTTCAGAGAGGGCGCAGTCTGCATCCGGAGGATCGCCTGGACCCTCTCCACGCTGATGAAGGCCAGGGTGGTGATGGTGACGGAGCCGCTCATACAGATGACAAACAGCACGGTGTGACAGGCGGTGAACCCCAGCGTCCAGGACACGGTCCAGCGCACTGCCACTATCAAGGGGATCATGCTGACAAACAGCAGGTCGGCCACAAACAAGTTGAGGGTCAGGATGGTCTTGTTGGCCAGCAGTCTGCGCTCCCAGGTTACCAAGGCTGCAGCTCCCGTGTTTGCTGCCACGGACACCAGGAAGACAGTGGAGATGGCCAAGGTCTCGACAACAGTGGCAGCGGTATGATCGGAGTAGTGCAACTCAGAGAAGTAGGAAAAATATGAGAAGTTTCTCAAGTGGAGTAAGTGAGAGTGAGGGTCGATATCCATAGAGGCTGAGAAGGTATTTGGATCTAAGGTACAGACTGAGTTCACTGTGGTGACTATGTCTGATAAATGAATGGGAAAGAGAAGCTGATAAGTGATACAAGAGAAAGAGAGGAGGAGGAGGGATGGAGGGTGGTGACTAACCCTTTACATGTTTGCTCCAGGTGCTGCATGAATGCAAGTCAAATATTACAATCCCCTGCTGTGTAGGTGAGCATAATTTTAATGTGCGACTTCACTGTCATATTATTCCTTTTATTATTTCTTTCATCTTCCTCTTCTTTATCTGTATTGTCCAGAGACATGGACATTTGCATAACATACACTCATGCCGGATTTTTTATAAATGAATTAGTTATTTTCTGGCAAGTCAAGGACATTTCCTGGATATCAACCTCCTCAATCAAATCTGCTCCAAAAGTTTATGGTTCAAACCCCACCCGTCCACTAAGTGCCAAGAAAATCAGTCCAGTAGTTTTTATGTAATTCTGCAGACAAACAGCAATGAAAACATAACCTCCCTGATGGAGGTAATAATAATACAGGCAACAATTCTAAAACCTTTATCCCATTTGGTGTGAAAGCATCTTCCAGAGGGCAGTTTTATACGTTCATCTAGTTGGGTATGAACGGCATCAGACACAATTGTGCTTTTTGTTTTATCTCTATTAACATTCCAATTGTTTCTGCTCTGTCCCAATGGTTTTACAGGCCACGCTCATAACTGTAGTCTGTTTTTGTTCTGTTCCAACAATAGGCTGTCAATCTCAGCTTCTGCATGCTTTTGACTCTGTGGATCCTCCCATGAGGAGCTCTGGATTTAATTGTAACACACGCTAGTCTGTTGTTGAATGAGACTGAGGCGACCCTCTCTGACGGTTAATCCTAGTTCTACACTCAGTGCACCTGTAGAACAGTAATGCTGCGTAAATCTCAAAGTAGCTGCAGGGATATAATTAATTAGATTTCACTATTAATTAATGGTGTGTAAGATAACTCGTTCTACTTCCTAATGAGTGATACACTAACTGATCAGTCTGTCCTAAAATAGGCTTCTCATTTCATAATAACTGATTTGAAAATGTTTACATTAATGTATTTCACAAGTATTTCCTCTGTCCTCTGACAGTATTTTTGTTATGTCTGGTGTTAATAATAATCTACACGGCCTCAGGAGAAAACCCCTCTTGACCGGGCTCTCAGACAGGCTAAGCTCATATTCTCACTGTCTATGAAAATGTTTCTGAAAAGTACAGAGGGTTAAGAGGTGTCCAAACCATACTGGCATATTGTTCATAAGCTGTTAGACTAGGTTAGCCCTTGGTGTCATGTTCCTGTTACAAAGCCTACAGCCGCAAGCAGACCTCCGACTCCTTATAATGTTTGCTTGCAATACTAATCCATGGCCTCAAATAGGACTGGAAAGGGATTAACTTCCACAAGCTGTTTTGAGCTATTCATCTGGTTTGAACATTGTGAGAACTTGGTAGGATCAAGGACCTGCAGCAGTATGATGTGACAAAGCATCACACAACATGTTATCAGCTTTTCAGGTAGTTTGTCATAAACTAATAAAGTTGTGAATAAATTAAATCTTTGACTTGAAAATCTTTATTTATAATCTTGGCTGAAAAGCAAAAATCACACCCTCTTCAACTGAACACAGTAGTTTATTAACTTGAACTTCTACTTCTACTTGAACAGTATGGCTCAAACATCAATATCAATATCATCATAGAAGAACATGCAGAACTTGCAGAGGTTTGAGGCGCAGCTCACTCGAAACATACTTCTATGTGCTTCATCAGTTCTTGGTAGTGACTGACAGGATAGTCGGCCTTGCAGCAGGGACACTCCAGGGAGCTTTCATTCAGCAAGTCTGTGCTAGCGGAGGCTGTCACGTAGTCTCTGCAGAGCTGGGAGGGGGCAAAGTTTTTATAATGATTGACAATCAGATGACTGTGATGTGCAAGGTGTTGTTCACACTGTCAAACATGCAGAATATGCATATCCCCTTAGATATGAAGAGCAGTTTAGCCTATTTGGGGTCATTATTTAGATTTTCTAGCCAACAACATTGTTTTCGTCAACTTCAGACCTGTTTTTCGGTAAAAACTGAGCATTTAGCAGCTGAAGAGTCAGATATTGCCCTCAGGAGTAAGTGGAGATCCAAACATAGCTAAAAGGGCAGTGAATATTGACTTGCATATGTCAGTGGAAACAACTGTTTCCAACATTCCCCACAACTTTACAAGGTGATTTATCAGTTTTCTGCTTAATTCTCTGGCCCAGAGTTTAAAAAATCAATAGCTGCAGCTCTGAGTTTCATCACTAATGCTAAATACAAATGTAGTCAATTGATCTATTAATGCTAACCTCTGTCGTTTTTGGCTCTTGGCGTTCAGTCTTCTTCAGCAACTTCAGGACTTTGACCAGTTGCTTCTTTAAATGTGAACAATCCTGTCTCTCATCCTCAAGGTCTTGTGTAGAAATCTGGATCTTTTAAGATGAATAATGCAGTCAAGCTATAATACTGTACAGGTTTGGGTGGCATATTTTTTAAATAAATCAAGAATTCCCAAAATTAATTTGCTTATGTGAGGAATAACTTCCCCTTGGAAGGAAAGCAAAGAGGTTGTCATGTTTCCACAAAGTGCAATTAAACTGTGTCATCATAAAGAGTTGGTGGATTAGCAACAGCCCTCAAGGAACCAAATCTCATAGAGTACCTGACGCTCCAGATCTGCAATCTTTTCCTGGTCTGCACTTTGATGATTTAACACAAACTTCTGGAGGAGATTCACCTGAGAAAAGCGAGGCTTAAGGTGTTTCATTTCATGTCTTTCCTCCTGAGTAATTTTCAATAAAGTAATTCAATAAAGACGTACCTGCAGCTCAGAGTTAGTTGACCTGCGCTTCTCTTCATCCAGCCTGTTCCTGAGGTCTTTGTTCTTATCTGCCAGTTGTTTTACTTCATCCTCTTCTTGATCTTCTGGTGAACTTTGTCCACTCAATTCTGTAGCATGCAGCTGCTGCTTGAGCTCCTCCAACTCTATTTCCCTTTCCTTGCACCTACACATCAACCTTTCTGTTATGTGGCCGACTAACATCCCAAACTTCTCCAACTTTGAATGAGACCATGTATACATACACATTGAGCAGACCTACCAGTTTTGGGTTGTTGTCAGGTTCTGTTGGGTGATGTTGACCTGCTCTCTGAGCACCTCCAGCTCATCTTTGGCTTTTTGTAAGAGTCTTTCATAGTACTCCTGCATCTGGCCTATTCGCTTCTGATCTATAATGAGAGAGCGAATAAAAATAATTTTAAAAAACAGGAAGAGATTCCACAACTGTATATGCAATCAACAAAGTTAGATACAGCTTACTACATGCACAATGTAGTATTAAATTTTTTTTTTGAAAATGCAGTGCAGAGCTGCATATCCTGCCATGCAGCAGGCTACGCCAGTGTAATCTAGATATCTTAAAAACCTTGTTGTGACAGTCTGTTGCCCTTTGTTGCCCCAGTGTTGAGTTCCAACTGCCCACTGCCCCTCTTGCTCACCATCTGAATGGTCTTCATTGTGCTTCTTTGAGCAAGACAGATTGGCTTCATTCAGCTGCTTCTCCAGCCATAACATTTTGCCCATAATGGCCCTCACATAGGCAACTCTGTGCTGGTCATAATCCAGCCACTGCTTGTTCCACTCCAAGGCCTCGGGGGATTGAATAAAAAGAATGAGAAGCACAAAATGGAGACAGAAAGAAACAGAGTTGTGCCAGGGGGATGGCCCCAGAGCACATTCTTCAAGACATTCACTCTGCACACAGGCTCACGGCCTCACTGACAAACAAATGGACACAAAGTAGAAACTAAGTAACACAAAATACAGAAATGTGAATTTAGTGTTGATTGAGAAAATACAGATGGTAGAGAGCCTTTCAAGCTGTGCAGTAACAACAAAGTGCTTACATCTCTGAGCTGATTCTGGAGCTCTGTTACTCTGGTGTTGGAGGCCTCTTCATCTGACTTGAAGTCCTAATAGAAAACAATAAAATACAACACACACTCACACATAGTGTTTGCAGATTAATAGCAGTATATTTGATTACATTCTGACATGTCAGCACAAGGACCTAAAAAAAACAGGATTTAGAGCTTCAATGTGTTGGAACCTCTGCCACCGCTAAATGCAAGACAGGCATTTGTAAACAAGTGCTGCCATCTAGTGGGACAGAGAAGGTAAGAGACAAATCCAACACCCAAAGCAGCAACACAATAGGTCTGTCTCAGAGAAGACATTTTGACCTGCAGCAGAAAGTAAAGCAGTTTTAATTGATAAAAGGAACGATGGCCGAATCCCATCAATCTACACTGATTTCAGGGTCCTGGTATTTATATTTGTGCTGGCTCACCACTAAACCGTCATGGCTTATTGAGACATTTTTTGGTTTTTCCTATAATGACAAATCAAAATATCTATTTATTGCATAGCATCTAACACTATAATGGATAAGGTGCCAAATATAATGAATTCTAGGAGACACTTTTATTACTGTATACTGCACCTTCTTCCCGGCAACTTTTCTCTCAAGAAATTGACTCAGTTGAAATGCACACAAGCCTGTTCTCAATTTGTTCAACTTTTCTGGCATAACCAGATACTCTCTCCGTACTCACTGCGTCTGTCAGGTTATCTTCTCTCTTACTCAGCTCTGATGGCAAGGCAGTCTTCTCGTCTTTGTCCGTCAGCTGCTGAGAATTATCCAGCTTTGCAGTGTCAAGATTCAGTAATCTCTGCATATAGACACAGAGGAAAGAGAACGTCAAACACTGAAACAATCACTGTACACAGCGCTCATTGGAAACACGTTTACGGACTTTACAGTACTGTACGAGCATTTAATAATGATATGAGTCAACTAGTAGTTAGACTGAAAGTTTGAGCAAGTTTACCTCCACTAGCTTGTAATGATCGCAATGCTGACGAGATAACCCGACCAGGCTCTTCTTCAGAAAGGCGTTCTCCTTCCTCAGGCTGCTCACAACCACATCAAGCTCTGAGCTGCGCTTCTTCCTGGGGAAACCTTTACACTTGGAGGCGGCCATCTCTGTCACCTGTTCACAAATGCTACAAGAGACAAAACAGACAAAAACAACACATCTTAGACGTACGTGAGAGCACACAATTTCAGAGAAATTCTGAAATCTCAAATTAAGATTTTGAAGTTAGCAAACCAATCACCTGTGTCAGGTTTTAATTCCAAACTCCACTGTATGTCAACATGAGTCCTGAGGTGTTGGTATTGTAGAAACATTAGAAACAGCCTTAAAAAGCAACTTTTGAATTGTTGTGGCTCAACCTCAAGCCCAACATGGACCAGGACTCAGTATTGCGCTGACCCACATCAGTTTAATACATTTTCGCTACTGGTGAAAGTTACACACTCACTAGCTGGATGAAGATGGACATTGGATGCTGGATTTTCTCAGCCAGTAATAAAATATTGAACAGAAACAGCTCGATTGTCACTGTTGGTACGTGAAGGTGTTTTTTTTTCTTCGCCGTTATCGTCCACAGAGAAGCACCTCGTGTGGTTAGCCGAGCTAGCTAATGTTAGCTGGAGTACGAACAGGTTTAAACAGGGATGGTAGCGCAGGCTAAGTTCTGGGTCAAATTAAATACGTTAGTTAAAATTAATCAAATGAACAACTTACCAGAAATAGATTGTATCACGAAGTCTAACAAAGCGAAGTCTAACTTATATTTTTTCTTCTTCTTCTTCTGCTGCAGGTGCCCAGCAACAAACCGTGACGTCACCAGTCAGTACCAGTTTATGCTGCGTTCCAGACAACTCGGATTTGTGGGATATTCTGACATGAAAGTAGTTTGTCCTTCATTATTATTATTATTATTATCATTATTATTATTATCATTAGTAGTAGTTACAGGAGATTTTTTTTGCGTTTTACACAGATTCATTTGATAATATAAAATTCGCAAAGCTACAACAAGCACTGGACGTCCATCACTATAATGATAAAAACATAGAAGAAGAAGAACACAAGCAAGCAAAAACAAACCAGGCAAAAAATTCTACCAATAAAATCATCATAAATAAATATCCTACCTTCATCTTAAGCATTCATAGAATAATAATAAAAAAACATCTATCTAGTCTAACCATCAAATTATTCTGAATTAGATGATTATATAGTTGTTTGATTGACTGGTGGCCATGTGAAACAATCTGATCTGGGATCAGACTATTAGTTATTTATTTTATTAATATTCCACAACACTGGTGACATGTTAACATGATGACGTGGAAACTCGGCAGGGGAGGTGTTCATAACACTGCCACTGGGAGGCGCTGCAGCACCGGGGAGGCCGTTCACCTGGATGTTGGATGAATCCACATGTTGATCAGCACGTTGGTCTCAAAGCTGTAACCAGAGAGTGTTTGTGAGAAGATGATGAGAACCTTCAGAGTTGATTCGTTCCTCTCGCATGGTGACTGCAGCTGCTCGGCTGGCTGGTGAATGGTTCAGTGACTCATGAGAGCAGCTGCCCTCCTCTCCTCCTCATCTTTGTCTCAGTTCCTCCTGAGAGGAAACTCCCTGTGTCACAGCAGCTCAACATGTTTTCTTTCTGCGAATAAACTTGGACTCTACTTGAAAAATGCTGCGGGTCGTTGTTGAGTCCGCCAGTGGGATCCCCAAAAAGAAACTAGGGAACCCAGATCCGATAGCTACGGTTACCTTCAGAGGTGAGAGATCAATTTAACTTTCTTATTTCCTCCTCGGTAAACTGCTTTGTGCTCCGAGAAGACTTCTCTCAATTAGGTGCACCAACTATTTCAGTTTCTATCCAACTTTCATGTATTCCTGTCATCCTTAAGGATCAGGAGATGACTTTTTAAAAAATAGCATCAGTTTATGTATCATTGTCTTTATGGCAGTGATTTATAAAAGTCTGCATCCTTATAATGTCAGGACAATACTTCTTTACAGAAAGCTGTGGCTTTATTTATCTATTTGTCTATTTCATTCCTTTTGTACTTTTTGTTCCCTCTCAAACTTTCTCATGCCAGTAAAATATATTTTCCTTTTTGGTTACAGATGAGAGGAAGAAAACCAAAGCGATTGATAACGAGTTGAATCCTGTGTGGAATGAAGTAAGTGATGACTTGAGTTTCAGTGCATGGAAATGCTTCATGGGGAACGATTAATGACCAGCAAGCTGTTATTACAGGGGTTGAAACTAATCCTGTCCCTGTCATTATCCTGCAGGTGCTCGAATTTAATCTGAAAGGCTCCTCCTTGGATCCATCCTCATTCATCAGTGTGGTGGTGAAAGACTATGAAACAATTGGCAAAGATAAGTAAGTGCATGACAAGCATCACCCTGACAAATGGTCACATTTGCATGTGTCATATAATGTGACTATCACTGCACCACTAATTCCTTATATTCACGATTGTGCTATTTTTACTTTGCCATGATTGTAAAGTGCTGTGGCTCAACTCCTGCTGTTTTGGATGTGTCATAGAGAAAAATCAGTCTTGACATGATGTGACATGTGTTCTGCTAAAAAAGTTTACAGATGTGCTCTTAACATTTAATGTGGAGAGAATAAATACACCACCCTTAGCCGACCCTCTACAAGAAGTTATGGATCCATTTAATTTCACTTCTGCATTTTTTGAGACTGACCTCTAAGTAAAGATCCCCTCCACACCTCACACTTCTGTTACATCAGTTAAAGCAGTTAACGACTGAAAGTGAAAACCACTGAATGTCAGAGTTTTAGTTTTTGAGAATGTGAATAAAATCTGTGGAAGTGCTTGATGCTCAGCGGTTCTTAGCTCGACAACATTCAGTAGTTATTATGATCTTTTCCCAAGGATCAGAGCACCATCTTTAAACTTCACCACGATCATGTCAAGACTTGCAGTGCCAGTATGCACAGGGCTTTGTCCCCCTCACAACTGTGCTCCAGCTCGAGCAGAGGGAATGTTGCCTTAAAAGGAAAAGATAGCCTCTTTATTAACTTTCCCCTCTGCAGACTCACACTGACATGGATGAGATGTGTAACTCTGCTTAATTTTCTATTGGTTTTCGTTATATTCACTACATTTTGTACATTCTGAGTCTGAGTCACTCTGTTTTTCTCAGTGCATGCAAGATGCCAATGACATACCTCATCTGTCTCCTGTGAGTGATTGTTTGTGATGATGTATTTTGAGGGTGAGGATGGAGGGTTGACCACTTTGGTCACACATGCACGTACAACATTTTCCATGATCCCTTTGGTGTTGCTTACATCTGGGTGAATGAGAGAGCTTGCTCTGGCTTGTTGTTGGCAAGCATCTGTGGGGACTGGCAGTGGTTCAGCCTGTAATTCTTTGCAAGTATCATGCTGACTCTGGAGGAAAAAAGGGAAATGCACACTTTTGATCAAGTCTGTTCCCAGCAGTGAATGATCCGTTGGCTTTTTAGTTATCTAAAATACGCTTTTTGAAAGTGATATGTATCTATTATAGAAAAGATATCAGTTTACCGGGTACACCATCCACTGGCTCTTTCACTGCAGTTAAAATGTCGTTTTCTCTTTCCTGCTCTGGAGCCGACCCAAATACTTAAAACTAAAATTCAACTAGAGTTTATTTTCTAGCTTCATAGGAGTGTTAGTTATGTATACAAATCTTAATCTCTGTACACCAGCTTGTACTGTTTGTAGTGGCAGGGACAGTGAATACTACATTTCCTCTTCAACTGACCATTGTCAGGGGAAGCTTCAGAAATAAATCATACCAAAAAAGATATGCGATTTTTTCTCTGTACTAAAAGAAAGTAAGATAAAATAGCAGAAGATTCATGGCGGTCCCTTCTGGCTGTATGCCTGTCAGGTCAGGGTCAGGGTTAATAAAGATCCATACTGTTTTGTGTCTTAGATCAAGAATTAGATGAGGAAGGTTACACATGATTATTATTATTACTATTCTGTTGAAGTAAAGTCGCCAGTGGGCCTAATATGTGGGGACGTGGTTGAAGTGATGAAAAACTAAAATCTTAAACTAAAACATGTTGTTTGAACCTTGAGTTACAAGGACAAAGTTAATACTCTTCAGAGGAGTTTAGGTTTCCAACAAGCGGCTTACGTGAGACTGCACTTTAAAAAAATTTTTTAACTGTTATCCTGGCAAATTTTGTGGTTAGTACACTAATAACTAAGAGGGTGAAACCTCAGAGAATGTGTGAAGACATGCCGTGTTGCAGATGCGGAACTGCTAAACAAAGTAGAATTGTGGATTGTATGCAAACATTGTGTATTTTCCTTGAACAAAAGTCTGCTATGATATCTGAATATGGTGCTGAGTTTTCAAAACTCCTGAAGGGCAATTGGCGAGAGGATTAAGAACATGAAAAGTAAACAAAAGGAACGGGATGTATTTGTTTAGCCGTTTAAGCAACAATTAGCTCCGAGCTCAGTTCACCAACCTTCCCCTGGTTCAAGTTTGCCTCGCTGGTGTGTTATCATAAGGGCGGCACGATATTAGGAAAACATGTTATATGCGTTAACGTTGAATATAGCGTTGGCGATATGACTTGCGATAAATGGACAAATGCTTAAGTATACGGCGTTAAAGTCTTTCTGCTTTGGTTTCACTGCTAACATAGACCCCATACAATGAGTTGTCTATGCAGAGATTGAAAAAAATGTTTATTGAGGGAGGGGGCACACAGCCCGGCCACAGCGCGAAACAAGCTACGAGTGCCATCATCACCATCACTACCATCTGACTGCAGACTTCTTGTCGAGAGCAGTTCCACCCATTACATTAAAGAGTGATTTACTCTTAGTATGGAAGGCACTTGGCCCTGGAAAGATGTTATACAAATTGAAATGGCCCTTGATAGCTAAAAGGTTCCTTCCCTAACCATGTTCGATCATATGTTTTGAGAATGAGAGAGTGTCAGAGCATAATCATGAGTATGACTGTGCCTGACTGTGCCTGAGTGTGCTTTCAACTGGGCACAGACCGCCCAGCACATTCTTGTGTAATGTTAATTGTTTCCATCTTCCTTTTTTTTTTTCTTGTTCTCTTTTTCCCCCTGTGTAACCAGCAGGTCCTTCTCATGCAAAGTCTCAAACCTCTCGAATGATGACATTGTCGCTCACATTGGAAAAGCAGATTTTATAACTATATATAAATTATATATACTATATAATTCATAGCCTCTATTTGTGGTTGCAATTAATCAATCAATTAAAATCTTGGTGTTCATGTTTGTCTTCTTCTGAAGTGTTGCAATCCATTACAGTTATTAATCACTGTGGCTACATGACATCTGTTTGGAAGACAAAGTAACAATGTAGGTGTCGTTGCTCAGTTCGTCATCATATAAGAAGTAAAATTGGGAAGTGGAAACCGTCAAATATCCAAAACTGCCAGAGATTACAGTCACAAACATGGCATCTAATTCCCTCATGTTAGAATTGCACAAGTTTGTCACAGCTTGTGTAATCAATGCAAACCTTGGTGTTTCTATAGCCACCCATCCATGTGATTGTTTCTTTTCAGCTGTAATGATTCATTTGCTCATGCTCGCACCATCGTCTGAGCAAAGGAATGTTTCTGTGATTGCTTTTCAGACTCATCGGTTCGGCAAAAATCTCTCTGAGAGACTTGGCCAGTGGTCAGACGAAGTCCCTCCCATCCAAGAACGTGCCGCTGATCAATGAGAAGCAACAGGCGACTGGGGTGAATAACATTGTCCTAAACGTTGCAATTTAAAGACAAAGGCAGCTCCAGCTCTGGCAGCAGATAATGCCTGGTATCTGTGTAGGTCTGCAGGAAGTGGCTGAATTTGCTGAATTCTGCAACATGTCATTATTTATCAGATATAAACTGTACAGCAGAGAAGAAAATGCTAATTGAGAAAATTTGTTTTTTATTCTCAGGCAACCATTGATTTGCTCATTAAGTATGATCCACCTAAAAACAGCGCACCAAACCTGAATGAGCAGCCAGATGGAAACATGGCTCATAATGTGGATGATGGTGAGTAGACGGTTTTATATATATATTTATAATAAATATTATATATAATATAAACAGTATAATAAAGTAAAAGTAGCAGTAAATGGATCACAGCAAAGTTCTTGAACATGATATTTCAAGTCTGTCTTTTGTTTAGTTTTTTTCAAATTTTTACCACTTGTCACTTGGACTCAAACATTACCTGATTATGTTCTAGTGGCCTGAACTGAGTTGTTTTTTTCTGAGTTATAGTTTCTGGGAAGTTTTGAGATTTCCTTATAACTGCTGTTCTGTGGGATTATTATCTGTGCTTATTGTCAACAAGAACCAATGAGAGGGTGCATGCTGTCTATTTAAGGTGGATCCAGATCCAGCTGAGAAATTAGCATGTCAAGTATTTTGAATGTGTTAATTGTGACAGGCCAAAGTGATGAGGGTGAGGAGGGAGAAGCACACATGCCCACCTTGCCAAACCAGCCTGGAAGGCACAACAACAAGCCACTTCGTGTGAGCCGTAAGACGCACAGAGCCCTGACCACCAAGCCTCAGGACTTCCAGGTATTGTTTAAGTTTTGATTACTCTGTTCCTGGATAATCACAAATGCCAGTTTAGAGGGAATTTCTTACTGTTAATCACATGAATGACAGCAGGCTGCACCAGTGTAAATTCACATTGAAGGCTGGGATAATTCCACTTCTTAACAGGTCAACACCCATTTGTTCTTCATATTTCTGTTCCCATAACAGGCCCAGAAACTTCTCTGTGCAGCCTTTTGTCTATACTGAATACATTTGTCGACCAAAATGGTGCCTTTTCAAAAAAGAACCAGATAAACGGATGTGCTGTTTGTTCAGCTGCCTTACTGATGCTTGCAATGTCCAGATCCGCGTTCGGGTTATCAAGGGTCGACAGCTGCCCGGCAACAACATCAAGCCAGTGGTTAAGGTGAACACATGCGGACAGACTCACAGGACTCGAATAAGAAGAGGAAATAACCCGTTCTTCGATGAGGTAACAATCCATGCATCGCTATGCAGAACTACTTCACTTTCATTTCTTGAAATAAATATATTAATGATTACTTCCTCTACTTGTGCCTTTTACCTTGCTTGTCTGTTCCCTCCAGTCTTTGCCATCTAATCCCCACCAGCTTAAATAACCTTCTGAGGTATTTCGGTCCTTAACTTTCTCCTCCATATTCACTTTTTTTCAATTTTGTCTTCCCTCACCCTCAGCTTTTTCCAAAGAATAATCATCTCAGATTAATGACTTGTAAACATTTGTCACAGTCACGATAATAAAGCGCGTCAGACATCATATTATACTGTTCATGCAGTGAAAGGAGAAATAATTACTCATTTATGGCTTCTTCTGTCTTTCAGATGTTTTTCTACAATGTCAACATGCTCCCATCAGAACTGTTCGACGAGAGCATTAGAATTCGGGTTCGTAGATTATTTATCTATAATACAAATAAATGTATGCTTTTAAAATTCTGCATCTGTTAAAGCTGTGCGCCTGGCTTTCCTTGACAGGTTTATGACTCCTTCTCCCTAAGATCTGACAGTCTAATGGGAGAGTTCAAGGTATTCCAATTTAAGTGTTGTTGTCTGTAGCGATTTATCTAGATTAGAGTTGTGACAGATTTCAGTTGTTCCTAATCATTTTTCTCCTGTTTTACCCAGTTGGATGTTGGCTATATTTATGATGAACCAGGTCAGTGTTTCCGTGTAAATTTCAATGTCTATAAAAAAGTCAAATTTGTTTATACAAATAATAAGTAAATATTTGAACATGTGCAATATTATACTATGTTCAGATCATGCCATAATGAGGAAATGGCTTCTCCTGAGTGATCCTGATGACTCCAGCTCAGGGGCCAGAGGTTACTTGGAAGTCAGCATCATTGTCATTGGCATTGGAGATGAGCCACCGGTACTTATTCACCATTACATTCCTGTCTATTAACTACAGAAACATTTCAGTGCTGAAAAATATCCTCTCATCCCCTCTCCTCTCCTCTTCTCTCCTCTCCTCTCCTCTTCTCTTCTCTTCTCTTCTCTTCTCTTCTCTTCTCTTCTCTTCTCTTCTCTTCTCTTCTCTTCTCTTCTCTTCTCTTCTCTCCTCTCCTCTCCTCCCTTCCTCCAGTCTGAGAGGAAAGAAATAAGTGAGGAGCAGGACGACATAGAAAGCAATCTTCTGGTGCCAGCTGGTGTCACAATGCGATCGGCTACTCTGAGCCTTAAAGTCTACCGTGCAGAGGATATGCCACAGAGTAAGTGACCTATAATGTCATAAAGTTTTCCACACCCTGCTGGGTAATGAACTCAGATCTCTTCAGAGAATTCCTACTTATGGATTACTTCATGTTGCAGTGGATGACGCCTTTGCTCAGACTGTAAAACACGTCTTTGGAGGGGATGGAGACCGGAAAAACTTGGTGGACCCATATTTGGAAGTCAGCTTTGCTGGGAAGAAGGTACTTCCTCTGTAATTAAAAGGAAAACATTTTGAAATGTTCTTGCTGTGGGAATATTTTTAAGTTGTGATCTTTTTTCTGGTTTTAGTTGTGCACCAAAACCATTGAGAAAAATGCAAATCCAGAGTGGAATCAACTCATCAATCTCCAAGTCAAGGTGCTAAAGATGCACATACAGAGGAGTCAAATGAACTTACTTCAAATAATAAAAAACGTTTTAACTTCTAGCACTTATTAACACACGATTCTGCCTCTGCAGTTCCCGTCCATTTGTGAGCGCATCAAGCTGACTATGTATGACTGGTAAGAGATGCAATTTCATTTATACACAGCTTCACAAGCGGCAGTAATATCATAACCAGTATTTGACATGACCATTCATTATTTGCAGGGATCGTCTTACCAGGAATGATGCCATAGGGACATCATTTTTGAATCTGAGCCAGATGTCTTCCTCCGGTGGAGAGATTGACGGTAATCATGGCATTTGTATGAATGAATGTTTTCAATCAGTGTTCTAGATATTGCAGACTCTGCAATAATAAGTTTAACCTCATTCCAAGCGACATGGTAGATACTTAGATAGATACGTGAAACTGTCTAAATTGATTTAAAAATGCATCTTTGTTTTACAGCGAGCACCGCAGAATCAGAAGTTGGTTTTCTTCCAGCTTTTGGTCCTTGTTATGTCAACTTGTACGGTAGCCCCAGAGAATTCACTGGCCTACCTGACCCATACGAGGAACTCAACTTTGGCAAGGTAACACCACCCCATCAGCAGTGCTGAGAGTTCACAACTGAAAATAGACACAAGATATTTCAACTTTATCTTGAAATTGTAAACAAGAGGTTTTTCAATGGATGTGTTGTAGGGGGAAGGGGTTGCATACAGGGGGAGGGTCCTTGTTGAGCTGTCCACTCAGCTGGATGGAAAGATCGACCAAAATGTTGAAGACATCCCCTCTGATAATATCCTGGTGGCTCAGGTAAACAAACCTGTCCTACTATAATTACTGTTGTGTCCTTCTCGATTTCATTTTCTTAAGATGCAAGACAAGGTTTTAAATATGTTAGACAATATCATCAGTGTCCCTGTTTCCTACAGAAAATATTGATCAGTTTCTAGCACAAGAGCTGTTTGGAAACAGAGTGAGAAAAGGGGAAAACAAAAATATTCCTGCCTAAACCTTTTAATTGACTTATCTTTTTTTAACTTGTAGAAATACCAGCGCAGGAGAAAGTACTCTCTGTGTGCCGTGTTCCACAGTGCATGCATGCTCCAAGAGCCGGGGGAACCAATTCAGTTCGAGGTCAGCATCGGTAACTACGGCAACAAGCTGGACTCCACCTGCAAGCCCCTGGCATCCACCACCCGGTACAGCTTTGCTGTGTTTGATGGTATGAAAAGACGTCTGCAAGGATTTCAGAAATAACGAACTTTACTACATGTTTTTACATGTTCTCAGCCCACAAACCTGTTTTGAGGTTCCAACATCATCATGAGGCAAACAGTTATGTCGTCTAATATAAGAAGGGCACATTTTGTATGAGCATCATCCAAATGCACCATATATAATTTCTACCATGTTAATGGTATTTTTACAACAATGTAACAAACAATTATCAGTAAAATATATAAAACGTCCACTGAAGTGCAACATTTCTTTAGTTAAACTGTTCCTCACACTATAACTCTCATGAGAGTAAGACTCCACAACTTGTATTTAAAGTGATTGTGTGTATTTACGTTGTGTACCTCAGGTAATCACTACTATTACCTTCCCTGGGCTAACACCAAGCCGGTAGTGATTCTCACATCATACTGGGAAGACATCAGCCACCGCCTGGACTCTGTCAACGTTCTCCTCTCTGTTGCTGAGAAACTGGTGAGAACAAGTCACAGTCACGTGTTGGCCTGAATATTGCACATCTACACAGGAAGTATGACTGGTAAAAATAATCTTACATCTGTTGTGATTTATTTTAGGAATCCCACCTCACCTCTTTAAAGACAGCCATCTTAGCCAAGATGCCAGATCCCCGTCTGGTAGAGATTTGGCTAAAACTCATAAACCACATGATTGAGGATCTTAATGGGTGATTCAGAACATGACAGATCATACACTGGACCTGTGGGTTGTAACACCACAGTGTAACTTATCACAAGACAAAAGATTTGATTCTTTTTGTTTAACTTGTCTCTGTTTTGACAGTTTGAAGCTTCCGGTGATGGAGGGCCAACCCAACGTGACTGCACTGGACCTCCAAATTAAAAATCTGCGTGATGCTGCTGTTGCCAATATCACACAAATGGCCACTCGCATGAGAGAAGAGGCCACAGACGTTAGGGCTACTGTCAGTGACATTGAAGACTGGTTGGACAGAATCAAGCAGCTGGCAGAAGAGGTAAGAAATCGTAGCATGTATCTTTAATGTTTACTACCTGAGTCTTCCCCTTCAAGCAACTATGTTAAGTAACCCAAAAAGACATCATATATAAATTATATAAGTGAAATGTTTTGTGCCTCTATTAGCCTCAGAACAGCATGCCAGATGTGATCATCTGGATGTTGAGACGAGAGAAACGCGTGGCTTTTGCCCGAGTCCCAGCCAACCAGATCCTCTACTCCAACTTTAGCCAACAAGCCTGTGGCAAACACTGTGGAAGAACCCAGACCATCTTCATGCAGGTACAAGACCAACATTGCAGGGATTTCTCAATAGACCATGTCTCAGGATGTTGCATCTCAAAAGTTTGACCTGAGCATTTTCCTTAAGTAGGATAATAATAACCCTACTGCAATCATGAAAACATTCTTTTCTATTTCTTAGTCCTGTATTCCTCAAATTGGCTTCCTGGATTTAGGAAATTGTTACAAGTTTGATGCATTAACTCAACAATCTGCATGAAAGTATGTCAAAAAATATATTGAATATTATTATACTATTGCCATACAACAAATCAGTGAACACAAAAGCTCTCTAAGGTGCAAAGGCCCTTCACTTATCTGGCTGTTCATTGTACTATATTACAGTTTTCATTTGTTTTTAATCATAAACTTCATCAATGACTAAAAAAGTTACATCTGATTCCTCAGTACCCCATGGACAAAAACAAAGGTGTGAAGATCCCTGTTCTTCTGCGGGTCAACATGTGGCTCGGTCTCTCTGCCCATGAGAAGAAGTTCAACAGCTTTTCAGAGGGGAGCTTCAGTGTGTATGCTGAAATGGTATAATGGCTTTACACACGATGTTTAACATGTGTGGGTTCCCCTTTACTTTGTGTAAAACATTGTTCCTCAGATGTTTTCTCCCTGCAGTTTGAGAACCAGGCTCATGTGCTTGGAAAGTGGGGAACCACTGGACTGGTCGGCCGCCATAAATTCTCAGACGTGACTGGAAAAGTGAAACTCAAACAAGAATGCTTCATGCCACCACGAGGATGGGAATGGGAGGAAGACTGGATTGTTGACCCTGAGCGATGGTAACTTTAATTAGATCACTTCATCACATACAAGCACGCACATACACAGACACACACGCACTTACACAGAACTGCATGATTCATTACTTGTACACAAGTACAAACATCCTGTTGAGCACCCTCTTGAATCCTGTTCAATTTTAGCTCTATCCTCTGTTAACTGGCAGCAGTCGCAATGAGTGCTTGTGCCAACCATAGTTCAGGTGCACATCATAAACACAATCAAAGGAAATGAAAAGGAATTTCATCCGATGTTTTGGTTTAAGGAGGTCTCGGTCCCTCTCTCCGTCAGTGCCTCCTACTTCTGGAGTGCTTACATTGTCCCACAGAGGCTTGTGTAAATAATTTTAGCTCTCTCTGATCCCGGTCTTCCTGAGCTGTTAATCATGGTCCCGACTTGCTGGAAGTCATTGACTTGTGTTTACAGTGGTGCTGTTTTTTCTACAGCCTGTTGACAGAAGCAGATGCCGGCCACAAAGAGTTCACAGATGAGGTTTTTCAGAACGAGACACGGTTCCCTGGTGGAGAGTGGAAGCCTGCTGCGGAGCCCTACACAGACGTGGTACGACAAACACACAGTTAAGCTTTGAGACACGATGTGAAAAATGTGGGTGAAGATAACGAGACCAAAATCCTGTCGAGTCATGCTTGTGATGCTATCAGTCTCTTTTGTGCTATTATATACTAAGGACAGTGTCGCACATATGGCCCAGTGTCTGGCTCTGGTGTGTAGATTTCATCAGGGCTACTTATTATTATGTTATAACTTTGGGATTTTTGTCTGAACATACACTTAAATCAACTTAAAGCTGCTGTACTGCTTTACAGTTAATGTAGAAGGGGTCCCATGTCAGCTAATCAGCAGCTCCCTCAGATCTTTGGAATGATGTAGCATCCACAGCCACAACAGCTTTTTTGATTCAAGACAGAGCAGGCAGTTATTTACACTGAAGAAAAATCTCTGATAAACCCACTGCAGACTACTCACTCAGCTCTAAACAAAGTCAGAGACTAGGTTATCAACACAGTGAAGAATTTACAAAAAACAAACCTTTCACTCAGAAGTTGGTGTTGGAGACCAAAAACAAGAGTAAAGTAAAAGAAAACCTGGTAATGCTGGTTTAAAGTTTGTGATTATTATTAATAGTATTGGAAATTAAATCTTTGTTTTTGGGAAGCTGTGATCAACTTGTATTTACATGTACTATTGAAAATATTTCCTTAGACCAACCAAATAGCAGTCACTGTTGAAATAAACTAATTTAGAGTTTATTAACAGAACCCAAAAGAACTGGATCTAATAACTGTACTGCTACAAATATACTTGACATAAATGAGTAAAAGAGAGTCTCTGTTGTGCAGAACGGAGAAAAGGTTCAGAGCCCAGCAGATTTCGATTGTCCTCCTGGATGGACCTGGGAGGATGAGTGGAGCTTTGACAGCAACAAAGCTGTGGATGAGAAAGGTAACGTGAACTCAGAGACTGAGATTAGTATCTTCATGTTTGAAGTACTGTGACAAGGTCTGTGTGCATGTCTGTGTGTCCTTGTTTTAGGTTGGGAATACGGGCTTACCATTCCTCCTGATGATAAGCCCAAATCCTGGGTTGCAGCGGAGAAGATGTACCACGTCCATCGCAGGAAGAGACTCATAAGACCAAGGAAGAAGACATCTGAAAAAGTGGCTGTTGTTGAAGTGAGAAAGTGGTAGATGAGAAAAAGAGTAGATTGGAGAGATTTCAGCTTCTCAGTCCTTTATCCTGCTTGTATCTTGCATAGCAACGAGAATCAGTTGAAGGTTGGGAATACTCTTCCCTGATTGGATGGAAGTTTCACAGGAAGGAGCGCTCCACTGACACGTTCCGCCGCCGCTGCTGGAGGAGAAAGATGGTCCCGTCAGATTGCATCGGTGCCTCCGCCATCTTCGGACTGGAAGGGGCATTAGTGAGTTTTACTTAACCCCTCTAAGTAATGTTGCTAAATATGTATCACATTCTTGAACGTTGTCCAATTCCAAGGCAGTTGACATGAAGACAAGTTATGTACAGTAATACCATGTGAGTCATATCCTGTCATTATTCTTCTGCATCTGTCTGATCCTGTCCGACAACTTCTTTCAGTCCTGCATTATTTTCTTTAAGTTTCATTTTCATTTTGCTCAAATGTTTGCTATGAATTCTTCCTTTAAGCAACTCACTCTGGATTTTGTCAACAGGGGATTGATGTTGATGAGAAGGTCAGTAAAGCGGATGCAACCAAACGATTTGGTGGCAACTCGCCCACTGTTTCCTGCCACTTTAGCCGTAAGTAGATGGGTCAGATAAAGTGAATTCCTGGTGATGATGAAAGACCTTCTGTTACTTTAAACTTCCTGACTAATGCAAGATAACATTGAATCATAAAGTATATCCTGGACAAATATGTCCAAGTGTCTTATCAGCTGTGTCGCGGGTATCCTGTGAGATTATCTTGTTTTTAGTGGTGACACAGTTTGGCATGATGATAAAAACAATCATCTTCCTCCAGAGTCTTACATTTACCACCTGAGGGTGTACGTGTATCAGGCGAGGAATCTCTGTGCCATGGACAAAGACAGCTTCTCAGGTACAAACAAAGTATTCTATTTATGACCAAGTATTTGCATAGAAACCAGGTCAATAGGAATAAATTCTACTCATGATGCACCATTTACCAAAGTAAATATTTCATTAAAGAGTCAGTCGTTTCAGTCAAACACTACCCTTGTCTTCTCCAGATCCCTACGCTCATGTGTCATTCCTGCATGTGAGTAAGACCACAGAAGTTATTAAGACCACTCTGAACCCCACATGGGACCAGACTCTCATCTTTGAGGACATTGAAATCTACGGAGACCCACAGACAATCGCTCGCAACCCTCCGGATGTGGTCTTGGAGCTTTATGACAGTGATCAAGTTGTATGTTGAGTGTTTATTTTGCCAAACTCACAGAATCATACAGAGTTCTAACCAGGCTTCACTAATTCCTTGTGTGATGCTGCACTTTTTAAACTAGGGCAATGATGAGCCTATGGGTTGCTGTACGTGCCCCCCAGTGGTGAAACTGAATCCCGGTGTGGCCGTCACCCCGAAGCTACTGTGGTTCCCAGTCACCAAAAAGGGTTGCAGTGCAGGGGAGGTTCTGCTCGCTGCTGAGCTCCTGCTGAAGGACAAGGTACAGAACACATGTACAAATAAACATATTGCAACTCAGCTTTATGGATCTAAATGCAGGAGGTGATGCTGTGCTTTACCCTACAGGCTAATCAGGGAGATATGCCCTTGGCCCCTCCTCGATGGGGGGAGAAGCTCTACATGGTTCCCCAGGGGATCAGGCCTGTGGTGCAGCTCACTGTGGTAGAGGTCTTGACTTGGGGTTTGAGGAACATGAAGACCTACCAGTTGGCCACAGTTTCCTCTCCCAGCTTGATTGTGGAATGTGGTGGAGAGATTGTTCAAACTGCTGTAATCAAGAACTTCAAAAAGAACCCGAACTTCCCTGGATCTGTGCTCCTGCTCAAAGTGGTACTGACCACACTACTCTGTGGAGTCAAAGTAGAACATGTCCTATCCTGCCACCTGTAAACATCTAAACATGTTGATTATCCTGTTCTTTACCTAGCTCCTTCCCAAAGACGAGATGTACACCCCTCCCATTGTGCTGAAAGTAATCGATCACCGACCATTTGGAAGGAAGCCTGTCGTGGGTCAGTGCACCATCGACTGCCTGGACAAGTTCCGCTGTGACCCGTATCAGATTAACAATGAAGTCTGCATGTCTGCTAGAGGTACATGCATGGACTGTCACACATGTTTACACACTCAGCTACATACAGAGAATATTTATTTGATAATTTTCCATGAACTCTGCAGTGGCAATGATCGCTGCTGCCCAGGGAGATGTCATCATAAACATTGAGGAGAGACCCATCATGACAGCTGAGGTAAATGTCACCACTAAATTCATTTATCGAACAATCTATTGCTTTTATAAATAAGGACTCTTTGTTTGCTTCTCACCTTGTAGCTCAAAGCAGAAAAGGTAAGAAATTCTTCTTCTACAAATAATTCACTGATCACTATCAACTGCAAAAATACTAAGTCTCATCTCCGATGTGCAGGAGGAGGAGGCCGTAGACTGGTGGAGCAAGTTCTTTGCCTCTATTGGAGAGGAGAAAAAGTGTGGGCCTTACATGAAAAAACGATACGACACATTGCAGGTGAGAATGTGTCCCCGCATATTGTGAAAACACAAGAACTGATTTAATCTGATCTTAATTTTGTGTTGTAAATATCCAAAACCAAAAGATTTACTCTCATGCTGAAGTCAAGCATCAGGAAGGTACGGGAGTGAGTTCTGTGATATCTTCATGTGAACTCTGATCTGAAACCTGAGTTAATATAGCAAAATATTATTTTATTTTAGGAGCCACACATAATGTTTGAGTCCATCATATCTCATTCGTAACTTAAAATCTGTAATATGTCAGCATCACTGTTGTGTGATTATCAGGTGTACAAATGTGAACTGGAGGAGGTTGAAGAGTTCCAGGGACTCACTGATTTCTGCAGCACTTTCAAACTTCAGCGAGGAAAGACTGACGACGAGGAAGAAGATCCCTCGGTGGTGGGAGAGTTCAAGGTAACAGAGCATCACTGTCGCTCAGCCTGTTCTTACACCTGAACCTTTGTAATGTGAACAGTTTACTGTTGCATAGCTTTTGTCTGCCCTCTGGTGGACAATGTAAACACTTCAGTTAAAATCAAATTTTCAGCAACACGTTAGCATAGGGATTTGGTCCTTGCTTTAGGGAATGACACAACCTCAGCTATACACAGTGGCATAAGCCCAGTAAATTGCATTAAGTATATACCCTCACAATGCTATGTCTGTAAGGGAATAGTTTTGTTTTGTTGTATAGTACCTCTTGATAACTCTCATCCCGTCCTGAATGATGAATTCAGCTTGTCATTACATTACATTCAGCTTACACTGAAACTCACTTTGGCTTGTCTGGCTCATTCTTTGTTTTGTAGCAAATATAGTTAATAATTAATGCCAGCTAAAATTGGGTAAACAGCCCAGACTGCACTGAGTGACCTACATATTCTCAGGAATAAAGCATTGAATAACTTTGGTTGATTTATTGTGATATTTATTTGTAGTAGTAGTAAAAATATTTGTCTCTATATTGCTAGGATTTGTAATCATTGTGAGATAAAGCTTGCTGTAAGCACATTATCAGTAAATCTACATTTAGAATTAGAAAAAGTGCAGAGTTTCATTTATTATCTACAATTTTTGGGGGGAATATTAACGTTACAATTTACTGCCTCAGATCTGGAGCTGTTGTGCCCCAACATGAAAAGGTGTTGTATTATTAACTGGATGGTCCTTGTTGTTGCTGAACAGGGATCATTCAAGATTTACCCACTGTCAGATGATCCAGGGGTGGCAACGCCAGAGAGGCAGTTCAGAGAGCTTCCTGAGAGCGGGCCTCAGGAGTGCCTGGTCAGAATATATGTTGTCCGCTGTATTGATCTGCAGCCAAAGGACACAAACGGCATGGTGAGTTTAGTATGAAGTTATATCTGATCTCCCTGGTTTAGTGACAAACCCCTCTGCACATTTATGTCTCAACCGCTGTGAAAAAACACAATATTTTTTTCATTCTCATTTCAGTGTGACCCGTACATTAAGATTGCACTGGGGAGGAAAACACTGGATGACAGAGATAACTATAAACCAAACACCCTTAATCCAGAGTTTGGGAGGTAAGACAGTGATGTGACCAGCTCAAATAACCTCCTGCTCATTTTCTAGACGTTCAAATGTAGATGAATAACTTAAAATTTATGTAATAACATAAATAAAAATAAAAAAACACTATATGTCTTCCATTTTTGTCCAGGATGTTTGAGTTGTCCTGCTTCCTGCCACAAGACAAGGACCTGAAGATTGCTGTGTATGACTTCGACTTACTGAGCAGAGATGAAAAAGTGGGTGATACGATCATCGATTTGGAGAACAGACTCCTGTCTCGTTTCAGGCCCCGCTGTGGCCTGCCACAGACGTACTGTGTGTGAGTATGCTCACTTTGTCTTTCTGCATGGCTACAAATACCAACTCCTCTGTACGATGACACATCCTACAACTACCTTGACGTCTTCTCTCACACATTATACTTTCGGTGAGGTTCAAATGAGATAGATGGTTCATTTTCTTGCAGATCAGGGATCAATAAGTGGAGAGACCAGCTGAAGCCGTCTCAGATCCTCGAGAACACGGCCAAAGTGCGGGGTGTTCCTCCTCCACGCACAGAGGGAGATGGCAGCTCGCTGACTTTCTCAGGAAAAGAATACTACCTGCGAGATTTTGGTTGGTATTGTTTGTCACTGTGTTTCATTTGAAGAATGATAACATCTGTCTTTGTTTTTAGTTTGTGTCGTAGAGTTATGTTATATTATGCTAATAATTGATCATACGTCAATGCATGAATGTCTGTCACACCCTCTGCAGAGGCAAACACTGTGATGCACCAGCACTTGGGCCCAGACAGAGAGAGACTGGCCCTGCACGTCCTCAGAAACCAGGGCTTGGTACCAGAACACGTGGAGACGAGAACCCTGTTTAGCTCCCACCAGCCCAACCTGACCCAGGTTTAAACAACAGCAGTTACATACTATAACTATTATAGGATACAATTAAGATGTGTGATGTTGTTGTGCAATAGCTTTCTTTAAATGTCACATCCTTTTCCTTCACTGTAGGGACAAATTCAAATGTGGGTTGACATTTTCCCCAAGAACCTCGGTATGCCAGGGCCTCCGTGTGAAATCACTCCACGCAAACCCATGAAGTAAGAGAGTCTTTATCAAATCAAATATTTTGACTTAATGAATTGAACGATGGAGTATAATAGTGTATTTGAAACAGGTACTCCTTGCGGGCCATCGTTTGGAACACAACTGAAGTAATTCTGGATGAAACAAACATCATTGGAGAAAACATGAGTGACATCTATGTGAAGGGGTAAAATACTTTTCCCACCTGTTACCTTCACCATTCTGAGCATGTTTTTATTAAAATATTTTTTTCTTCTGCATTTTGGACTGAGCTTATATGATTTAAATATCACCATGTTACCTAGATGGATGCCAGGGATGGAGGAGGACAAGCAGAAGACCGATGTCCACTACAGATCCTTGGACGGTGACGGAAACTTCAACTGGAGGTTCATCTTTGGGTTTGACTATCTGCCTGCGGAGCAGCTGTGTGTTGTCTCCAGGAAAGTGAGTTAAAGCACGACAAGGCATTTAGGGGTTGTTTTTCATAACCAGAACATTTGTTGTGTGACAATATCATTTCTAGTAATGATATAAAGTGAGTGTCTGTTTTTTAAAGGAGCACTTCTGGAATCTGGACAACACTGAATTTCGGATTCCTCCTAAACTAATCATCCAGATATGGGACAATGATAAGTTCTCCCTGGATGACTACTTAGGTGAAAAAGCATTTTCTGTTTTTTACCATATTTTAAGACATTACCAGACAGACAGGGGTTTACTGTGATGTGTGCTCCATAATGATATACACAATCATTTTCCATCCTCTCTGTCACAGGATCAATTGAACTGGACCTACTCAATCTGATCCCCCCGGCTAAGACCCCAGAGAAGTGCAGCCTGAAGATGTTGCCAGAGATGTCAGGGTCAGCCCTCTCAAAGAAACCTCAACCCAACTCGCTCTTTTCTCAGAAGTCTGTACGAGGCTGGTGGCCATGTGTGATGGAGCAGGACGGGAAACATGTGCTGAGTGTATGTTTTTGTCCGCAGGGTATTGTTTTTATTTACGTTTTTTCCCTGGTCGGTTTAAATATGGGTTTCAAAATTTCACAGGGGAAAGTAGAGATGACCTTGGAAATCATAGAGGAGAAGGAGAAGGAGGAGAGACCTGCTGGGAAAGGAAGAGATGAGCCCAACATGAATCCCAAACTGGACCAGCCTAAGTAAGAAATTTAGCTTTTTTCAAATAAGATTGTGGATTGTTATATATTTATTTACATTATGTGAATGTCGCTGTTTGTTTCGTCTTCATCAGTCGCCCCGACACGTCGTTCCTCTGGTTCACAAACCCTTGCAAGACCTTGAAGTTCATAGTCTGGCGCAAGTTCCGATGGATGTTTATCGGAATTATTCTTCTTCTGTTCGTGATGTTGTTCCTCGGGGTTCTGTTCTACTCTATACCTGTAAGATCAATAATTTCCTTTGTCTAAAACATTCAATGTTCAGATAGTGTTTTTAATGCAGTAACTCTGAAATGTTTCTATCCACAGAATTACCTCTCAATGAAGATGGTGAGGCCTTACTCTTGATGAGCTTCCGAAGGAGCTGTTTGTCTTCCTGCAGTAGAATCTTCAGTATTTTTCATCATCGCTGTCCCTCAAAAATATGCAATAATTTTTTCTGCTGATGTCATAGCAAGCTGATATCCATCATTTTCTCTAATAATCAGAAGCAACTGTTTTTGTACTCTCAGTATTGCACTATATGTCCTTTCATAATAATCTCTCTAATGATCAATTTCAGAAAATAAATCAAGAATGTCAAGAATCATTTAATTAGTTTTGTATAAAGAAATTGTTTATATGTTGTTGTATTTTGCTCTAGTGTTGTTTAATGCTACAGTTTGGTGAGATATATGAAGCTTTATGACAATAAAACAACAAACAATCAATCATAACATGAGCGATATCCATGCTAAAACACATACTTTAAAAAAATGAGTTTTTAAAATTAACTTTATACAAAAACTCAAACAGACACGACATAATAGCAAATCAATTGAGTCACATAGCTGCCAAAAATTAGGAACTGAAAGAGTAAACAAAGAATAAAATCAAATATAGGTTTACTAGTGTCATTTGAATCAACCAAATATAATCAAATATGTTTCAGGCCTTTATTTTAGTTAATACTGAGCTCAATTGTTGTGATGTGTTTAATTTGCTTCATTTGCTTCAATTTTTCCTCAAACTCAAAATCAAAGAGATTCAATTATTCAGTTTTGTACAATAAAAACAATTAAAACTGCCAAATATGCTCAAGATGATGGTGTGATTGAAATTCAACATTATTCTGTAAAAAAACACAAAATTCACAACAAAAAACAAACATTTGGTTTTTGCCTCATAAGACCACAGATTCATATGTTTTAAGAAATCATACACCTGAAGTTTATGATTCAAAATAAATTCATATTCTTGAATTGTAAACTGTTTCAACCAAACAACTCTAAATGTCATCCACCTCCTCCCAGTTTACAATATCTCTTTCAGCCCCCTTTAAGTTTGCACGACACCAAACTGCTTTCTGTCCCAGTTGCTGGGATACCAGCTCCAGATCCCGCCTCCTCTCTCCAGAAAAGCGTTTTGATTGGTCGCTCTTTGTCCTGCCGTCAAGCGGTAGCATTTTCAGCAGCGAAGGGAAAGTAATTGAGCAACTGGACCATTAGAGCCAGTAACAAAAGGCTGCATTTCAAAATAAATGTTAAATAATGTGACGCAGCGAACTCAGGCGCTTCACAGAGAGCGGGACATGCCTGTAAGTCGTATCTCTTGGTTTTAATAGACGCGGCACTGCTAGCTTGATGAGGTTGAAGTACGTGGGCGCTATCCACAATAAACAAAGCTAACGGCTAACGTTTATATTTTTAGCCTGTCAATGCTAAGTTAGCAGAAGGTGACTTGTGTTGTGACACACAATGACGTGTTCGTATCAAGACTGAAGCAAAACAGAAACCTCCGGAAAGCGGGTGTGCCGCTAATAGCTGAGTAACTATTTATAGTATGAAGTCAAGATACAGTTACAGGTTAGCTTAGTGAAGCTATGTCAAACCTGCCAGTGTTGGCTCTTCTTCATGATGATCTGCTGACCAGCATGTGTTTTTTATTCTAAGTGAAACTGAAGGTTGAAATTATATCTGTGACCATCATCATCTCAAAACATTGTCCAGGTTTCAGTTTCACCCATAGACTGTATTTAAACAAGACTTTCACCACAGAGAGCTGCTCAGCTTCATGATTTGGACAGAGCTCTTTTGAGAACAGAACTCTGATAGCAGCCTCCTCTAACCTCAGTCTTATACAAACCTTTATATTTGTCTCTCTGTGGTATGTATGCTGCACCAGAACTGAGCTGTCCTGTATAAAATGATCCAGAAATGTTTGTCAGTGTTTCAACGCGGAATGTTTTTCTTACTCAATCAGCTTTTGTCGATTCATCTTGAATAAGCTGTAGAAGATGGATGAAACTATGGACTCTCAGAGAAGGTAAGACATTCATGAAGCCCTTAGGATCTGATGTGCTGAAATACAACTGGATGAGATGGCTAAAAATTATAACAAGATGAAAAAACGTCACATCATTCATTAGCCATTATCGATAATTATCACAATTAATAAAACGTTTTTTTATTACTTTAAAGTTTTACGCACATAATAAGTTCTCCTCTTCTCTCTCTCTTCATTAGGCAAACATAAGTTTGTCATCAATTATTGGTTAAACCTCCTAACTGTGCTGCACAATGCACAATGCATAAGAAAGCTTTTGATATATGCTGGACTTTATGCTGGAAATTATTGATATTGATAGTGTTTTATTGCACTTCTTAAGTTCTCAGGTTTTTATTAAGTAAGTAATAAGAATAGTTAATATTGACTTTATTTACTCAAACTCCTCAAATAAGCCTTCTCTCACTCTGTTCTCTCTCTGTTCTCCTTGCAGTGTGACTGGTGAAGTCATCCCAGAGGTCGTAAACATTGATGCCCCACAACCAAACTTAACATATGGAGAAGATGAGTTATTTCGTGAACCGCAAAAGCATGATACTGCAAAAGACTCTGCCCCAACAGAAAACACACAGGATGAAGTCGCATCTCAGAATTCAATGGACTGTGGGGCTGCAGGAGGGCCGGATGAATCTGGCCTTGCCGACTGCAGAAGTAGCACGGCTCAAACACAATGTTCTAATGGACAGAAATGTCAGAGGCCCAGTTCACCTGGTCCCCATCCTGTTAAAACCACTTGCATTGATGTACACTCTCCAAACCCCAAGCTCACCCTCTGTCTCGGTAATAGTACCAGAAAGGATGTGAGCACACCCAGTGATGTGGAGATGCTTAGTCCTGACAGTCCGGTCTGTAAATCCATGCTCACCAGCAACTCTGCACACAAAGATCATGATGGCGGTGCTTGTGCGGAGGACTCTGGCTTCGCAAAGGCTCAGGAAGTGGAATCACAGTCGTCTGTCAAAGACTCAGACTCTGGCATCTCGGCCAAAGAAGGAACCCACCTTGTTGCCACAGGGACTGAGGTAGCAGAGTACAGTGGCTCATCTGATATGAGCCAGGAATTAATCAGTAGCCAGCCAGGTGAAAGGTACTAGTGAACATTTCCACTTTTGTTTTTTACCCTTGTCCACAATAATTTGTCCTTCAGTAATCTTGGTTTATGCAGACTTGTGATTTTTTTCTTTACAGTATTTCATTTGCATTGCATGGCATGGACAAAAGATGGCTGGGGACCCCCATAGATGAGCTGAACAGAATGCCCCAGTGTGCCCCGCCTCTATCTCACCTGAAAGCAGTGCCTAACCACACTATTACAATCAGGGTGAGTCTACAGCCACTTGGTTTGGGTGTGTGGGGGGGATTGTATGTGACTCTTTGTTGTGAGACTACATTGTGTTGTAGTGGGAGACAATATAAGATGAAAACGTGTCAGAGGGAGTGTTGAAAAATAGGCTGTTTAGATACTGACTGCAGGAATGAGGAATAGGGAGACACCACTGGGCAGGGTGAAGTCATCGTCCATGATCCCCTCAGGGTCTCTTGTCAGAAAAGCTCCAATCAGACTGTGTCCTCCACTGCTATTCCCTCAGGAGCAGTGTCAGTGCTGGTGTGTAGATACAACTTATTTTAACAGCTACTGCCACCCAAGCACGACTCTGCCCATCACCCCCTAAATCACAACAATGATATTAGATTTTTAATTACTGTTCCCAGATAATCATAACTCAACAAACTAGACAGCTTTCAGTTGTTTAGTCAGCCAGCAAATGGATATGCCATTTAGTAAAACAAAAGTAAAGCTTATGTGTTTATTTACTGTGTATTTAGCATTAGTCCTCATTCTAAGTATTGTAGCACACATCATTTTAATGCAGGAGAAAATATTTGCGTTAACCATCACACCTCTGTAAACAACAGTATAGACAGTCTGTATAGACATTTCATTTCCCTGTTACAGACGGATCTCCTCAGAGAGAGAGAGGTCCCTGTGCCGTATCCCACAAAGTTCAAAGATGCGTGGGAGGATGTGTCAGTGAAGATGCCCTGCTCTGAGAAGAACCTGTTTCCTATGGAGACTGAGGTAAACTAGATGTTGTCCCACTCTTGAGCTGCATCACAGCCTTTCATCAAACTATGTCAATGTGTTACAACAAGGTTACATTAGGAACATTGAAGTAAAATTATTTGTTTATTGTTGTTGCACATAGGACGGAGGTGGTGTCCAAAGTCGGTGGGATCTGATCCACACAGCCTTGCGGGGAGGGTTCAAAAGTTCTCTGGATGTGAGGGTAAGACGACTGAATTTGGTGAACATGTTCCCCACATATACCCACCAAGAGAAGTCTGTATGAGGTGTTTTACATAAAAATTACAAAAATTACCCTAATAAAATAACCCTCTTTATGTTCTTTAACTTTAACTTTATGTGAGAAGAGTTATCCACTGCTCATTACATTATTCCTCTTGCAGCTGACTCATTCCACATACAGCCACATGGTGGCAGAGTTCGCATCAATTGTAGAATGCATTAAAAGACTTTTAATCCTATATATATATTTGTGTTTTAAAATGCTTTTATTCCATTGCCAACATTTTATTTTTATATTCAAAATGTGTCTTTAATAAATTATTAACTCCTAATCATTCTTCTCAGGATGCAATATTGAGATACAACACGACACATGCAAAGAAATGGGACTTCACTGCCCTGAACCTTCTTTGCACAGAGGTAAGCTGTTTAAAACATTGACTCTGTCTTGTACAGAAGATAAAACACCAGACTTTTCTTCAAATTCGCAATTTGCATTATAGCAGCCTTTTACATTTGTAATTTAAGAGACATGTAAACAAAGTACTCATCAGTGAAATGCAGCCTGTTCTGCGCATAATAGATTCTGAAAGTTAGCCCCAATGAACCTTACCTCGCAGTGTTTGTTTAGCTCACAATAATTAACTATGACTTTGAAATGTACCTTAAAGAAGGATGAAGCGTGAGTTGTTATAGTGAGGAGTCTGCTCTCCTCTGTTGCGCCGATGTGCGTCGCCCCCTGCCATTACCTGAGAGTCTCACAGGAGCAAATATGCATCATACAGTTAGGACAGACGAAGCACAGAGCATAACGGCAGCAGCTGCTGCAGGTGAACCAGGGGAAATCATTGTCTTTTCTTTCTTTCTTCAGTAGGAAAATGAGGTGGGATAATTATTAACCATTTTCTGTCATGAGATTAGTTATTAAAAAACTAATTTATCTTAAAATGTTGTATTATTTGAGTTTGTTATAAATTATAAGTATTATTGGCAGTAACTGTCAGCTGCCAGTGTTTATCCTCGGAACTGAGTCAATATATCGACTATATTACCACTCAAAGTGGCCAAAAAGGAAGACAATCTTTGAACAGATGATAAATAACTTAAATTAAAGTTAAATTCAGCTTGAAGCATAATTTGCTAATGTACATTCTTGTGGTTTGCTGTCACATTCTTTCTAAGTAAGTTGATTTCTTTTGATTAGAGCCATTACAAAAAAGATCATTTTGCTAATGGACCTCTTTGGTATTAATTATAGTCCAGTCAGATTGATATTTGAAACCTCAGTGATTATTTATACAGCTAAATTAAGAGCATTCAAAAATGATATTTTTTTCCCCTCCCTCTTCTGAAGTTATTTTTTAGAATAATGCAGAGAGCTTGAGAGATCAATAGCTGTCTCAAGTCTTTTTAAAGCTCAATCCAGTTTCATTAAAGA